TAAAGGAAATAGACACTGATCATGTCTGTAAAGGAAATAGACACTGATCATGTCTGTAAAGCAGACAGACACTAAACATGTCTGTAAAGCAGACAGACATTGAACATTTCTGTAAAGCAGACAGACACTGAACATGTCTGTAAAGCAGACACTGAACATGTCTGTCATACAGTGTTATGCACCAACACAAGATCAGGATGAATCGGTTAGGCAGGAATTTTACACAGAGCTTTAAATATTATAAGTAAGGAAAGACAGTGCAGTATAAAACTGTTGATGGGCGACCTGAATTCTAAGGTAGAATCAAATTAGACAGGTTATGAAGAGATGATGGGAATATCTGGACTAGGAGTCAAGAATCACACTGGACAATTATTCCCAATTTTGTGCCAGGAACCAGTATATGACTGGCAGAAGCATTTTCACATATAGAAGAATATGCAAGGCAACTTGGGAATCACCAAAGCATAGGACAATCAATCAGATGGAACTTATAGCAAGCAAAATTGGAGAACAACTAAAACAGTTAAACTACAATCATTGATTATCTGGTCTCTGTGCAGAATAGAGGGAATTAAATGGTATGACAGAATCACTAATTTTAAGCTTCCAGTGAATCAAGAGATGTAGAAAAGATGCTGGTATTAGATAGGGCCCACATTGAGGAAACAACAATATAACTAGAATGTCTTTGCATAAAGACATTCATGCAGACCAAAGAAACACATGGATAAGGGAACTAGAGATGTGTACATGGAGGGAGCTAGAGATGTGTACATGGAGGGGGCTAGAGATGTGTACAGGGAGGGGGCTAGAGATGTGTACATGGAGGGGGCTAGAGATTTTACATGGAGGGAGCTAGAGATGTGTACATGGAGGGGGCTAGAGATTTTACATGGAGGGAGCTAGAGATGTGTACATGGAGGGAGCTAGAGATGTGTACAGGGAGGGGGCTAGAGATGTGTACATGGAGGGGGCTAGAGATGTGTACATGGAGGGAGCTAGAGATGTGTACATGAAGGGAGCTAGAGATGTGTACAGGGAGGGGGCTAGAGATGTGTACATGGAGGGAGCTAGAGATGTGTACATGGAGGGGGCTAGAGATGTGTACATGAAGGGGGCTAGAGATGTGTACATGGAGGGGGCTAGAGATTTTACATGGAGGGGGCTAGAGATTTTACATGGAGGGAGCTAGAGATGTGTACATGGAGGGGAGCTAGAGATGTGTACATGGAGGGGGCTAGAGATGTGTACATGGAGGGGGCTAGAGATGTGTACATGGGGGGGGGCTCGAGATTTTACATGGAGGGAGCTAGAGATGTGTACATGGGGGGGGGAAGCTAGAGATGTGTACATGGGGGGAGCTAGATATTTTACATGGAGGGAGCTAGAGATGTGTACATGGGGGGAGCTAGAGATGTGTACATGGAGGGAGTTAGAGATGTGTACATGGAGGGAGCTAGAGATGTGTACATGGAGGGAGCTAGAGATGTGTACATGGAGGGAGCTAGAGATGTGTACATGGAGGGAGCTAGAGATGTGTACATGGAGGGAGCTAGAGAGAGATGTGTACAGGGAGGGAGCTAGAGATGTGTACAGGGAGGGAGCTAGAGATGTGTACATGGAGGGAGCTAGAGATGTGTACATGGAGGGAGCTAGAGATGTGTACATGGAGGGAGCTAGAGATGTGTACAGGGAGGGAGCTAGAGATGTGTACATGGAGGGAGCTAGAGATGTGTACAGGGAGGGAGCTAGAGATGTGTACATGGGGGGAGCTAGAGATGTGTACATGGAGGGAGCTGCATGCAGTGACAGAGGATATGACAACGTGGCATGAGTTGGCTGAGGGCTTATGCTCCATTGTAGTTACAGATGGACAAATCTCAGTTTAGTGTGTGTGTGTGTCCCAATGAAGGCTTTCTAGCCACAGCACTCATTCTCTCTCTGGTGATCATGTTCTTGGAGTGCTGATGAGATGTTCTTCTGATTTACTTGTATTTACGCAGCCTCACTGTTTACTTGAATTTTTGCAACTTCACTGTTGATTTTCCCGTTTCATCCAGTTGCATTGTAAATAATGTTTTTTTTTTTTTAATTTATGTCATCCAATTTAATTGTAAAGAACATTTGTATCCGAGTCACATTGTATATAGATTCATTTGATTTGCTTGACCCAACAGGTAGGTATAAGAAAGTCCGAAAGAAGAGACTGCATCCGTTAGAAGGAAACCCCCAGCTGAGGGGAGTTGTCTTGAAAACTTTAATCAAGAAACCCAAAAAACCTAATTCTGCTAACAGAAAGTGTGTCCGTCTGCGGCTGAGTACAGGGAAGGAAGTGACGGCGTATGTCCCTGGCGAGGGGCACAATCTGCAGGAACATAATGTTGTGTTGGTGGAAGGAGGTCGGCTGCAAGACACGCCCGGTGTTAAGTTGGTGTGTATCCGAGGCAAATATGACTTGCCACACGTGAAGAAAAAATAAAAATGTATATGAACTGTTTTGACAAATTAGACACGATTTGTGACTTGTGTGTGTATAGTTTGATTGCAGATAAATATCTTCAGTTTTTGTGATTCGATATGACAACATCAATATACAGATGAAAATAAATGAGTTTGAATAACTGCTTATCTATTTTCATTGCTGTTATTCCTTTTGAGCTGCTGTCTTGTTGAGATGCTCTCTTGTGTGATTGCTATCTTGTTGAGATTCTCTCTTGTGTTTTTACTGTCTTGTTGAGATGTTCTCTTGTGTGATTGCTGTCTTGTTGAGATGCTCTCTTGTGTGACTGCTGTCTTGTTGAGATGCTCTCTTGTTGAGATGCTCTCTTGTGTGATTGCTGTCTTGTTGAGATTCTCTCTTGTGTGATTGCTGTCTTGTTGAGATGCTCTCTTGTGTGATTGCTGTCTTGTTGAGATGCTCTCTTGTGTGACTGCTATCTTGTTGAGATTCTCTCTTGTGTGATTGCTGTCTTGTTGAGATTCTCTCTTGTGTGATTGCTGTCTTGTTGAGATGCTCTCTTGTGTGATTGCTGTCTTGTTGAGATTCTCTCTTGTGTGATTGCTGTCTTGTTGAGATGCTCTCTTGTGTGATTGCTGTCTTGTTGAGATTCTCTCTTGTGTGACTGCTGTCTTGTTGAGATGCTCTCTTGTGTGATTGCTGTCTTGTTGAGATGCTCTCTTGTGTGACTGCTGTCTTGTTGAGATTCTCTCTTGTGTGATTGCTGTCTTGTTGAGATGCTCTCTTGTTGAGATGCTCTCTTGGTGATTGCTGTCTTGTTGAGATGCTCTCTTGTGTGACTGCTGTCTTGTTGAGATGTTCTCTTGTGTGACCGCTGTCTTGTTGAGATGCTTTCTTGTGTGATTGCTGTCTTGTTGAGATGCTCTCTTGTGTGACTGCTGTCTTGTTGAGATGCTCTCTTGTGTGACTGCTGTCTTGTTGAGATGCTCTCTTGTGTGATTGCTGTCTTGTTGAGATTCTCTCTTGTGTGATTGCTGTCTTGTTGAGATTCTCTCTTGTGTGATTGCTTTCTTGTTGAGATGCTCTCTTGTGTGATTACTGTCTTGTGTGACTGCTGTCTTGTTGAGATTCTCTCTTGTGTGATTGCTGTCTTGTTGAGATGCTCTCTTGTGTGATTTGTCTCTTGTTGAGATGCTCTCATGGTGATTGCTGTCTTGTTGAGATGCTCTCTTGTGTGACTGATGTCTTGTTGAGATGCTCTCTTGTGTGACTGCTGTCTTGTTGAGATGCTGTCTTGTGTGACTGCTGTCTTGTTGAGATTCTCTCTTGTGTGATTGCTGTCTTGTTGAGATGCTCTCTTGTGTGATTTGTCTCTTGTTGAGATGCTCTCTTGTGTGATTGCTGTCTTGTTGAGATGCTCTCTTGTGTGACTGCTGCCTTGTTGAGATTCTCTCTTGTGTGACTGCTGTCTTGTTGAGATTCTCTCTTGTGTGATTGCTGCCTTGTTGAGATGCTCTCTTGTGTGATTGCTGTCTTGTTGAGATTCTCTCTTGTGTGACTGCTGTCTTGTTGAGATTCTCTCTTGTGTGACTGCTGTCTTGTTGAGATTCTCTCTTGTGTGATTGCTGTCTTGTTGAGATGCTCTCTTGTGTGACTGCTGTCTTGTTGAGATTCTCTCTTGTGTGATTGCTGTCTTGTTGAGATTCTCTCTTGTGTGACTGCTGTCTTGTTGAGATGCTCTCTTGTGTGACTGCTGCCTTGTTGAGATGCTCTCTTGTGTGACTGCTGCCTTGTTGAGATGCTCTCTTGTGTGACTGCTGCCTTGTTGAGATGCTCTCTTGTGTGACTGCTGTCTTGTTGAGATTCTCTCTTGTGTGACTGCTGTCTTGTTGAGATTCTCTCTTGTGTGACTGCTGTCTTGTTGAGATTCTCTCTTGTGTGACTGCTGTCTTGTTGAGATTCTCTCTTGTGTGACTGCTGTCTTGTTGAGATTCTCTCTTGTGTGACTGCTGTCTTGTTGAGATTCTCTCTTGTGTGACTGCTGCCTTGTTGAGATGCTCTCTTGTGGTGACTGCTGTCTTGTTGAGATTTCTCTCTTGTGTGACTGCTGTCTTGTTGAGATTCTCTCTTGTGTGACTGCTGTCTTGTTGAGATTCTCTCTTGTGTGACTGCTGTCTTGTTGAGATTCTCTCTTGTGTGATTGCTGTCTTGTTGAGATTCTCTCTTGTGTGACTGCTGTCTTGTTGAGATGCTCTCTTGTGTGACTGCTGTCTTGTTGAGATGCTCTCTTGTGTGACTGCTGCCTTGTTGAGATGCTCTCTTGTGTGACTGCTGCCTTGTTGAGATGCTCTCTTGTGTGACTGCTGTCTTGTTGAGATTCTCTCTTGTGTGACTGCTGTCTTGTTGAGATTCTCTCTTGTGTGACTGCTGTCTTGTTGAGATTCTCTCTTGTGTGACTGCTGTCTTGTTGAGATTCTCTCTTGTGTGACTGCTGTCTTGTTGAGATTCTCTCTTGTGTGACTGCTGCCTTGTTGAGATGCTCTCTTGTGTGACTGCTGTCTTGTTGAGATTCTCTCTTGTGTGACTGCTGTCTTGTTGAGATTCTCTCTTGTGTGACTGCTGTCTTGTTGAGATTCTCTCTTGTGTGACTGCTGTCTTGTTGAGATTCTCTCTTGTGTGACTGCTGTCTTGTTGAGATTCTCTCTTGTGTGACTGCTGCCTTGTTGAGATGCTCTCTTGTGTGACTGCTGTCTTGTGGCAGTCCTGGGGCCAAAGTGTATGGTTCTGAGATCCATGAGCCTAGTCGGAGAGCAACCTGACGTAAATACAGGACAGCAGCAACCCAATTCACCAGCCATGGACTGACCTCCTTCTCCTTCAGTGCAGTCATTAAGATGTCGTATCTTACTGTTATAAGCATCCTCGAGATTTGCCCATGTGTCCTTTTCTGGCCTGTAGCTTCCCAGACCTCATGGAAGATGCTTCCCCCTTCAAAAGATTCTTTCAGCTTCACAGCAACTATCTTCTCCAAGACCTTTTGCAAGGTGATGATTCCAAAGCCTTTGAGCTTTGAATTATCCTTTAAAAGTTTAGGTAATGGGATTAGATAGCTGTGCACCCAGTCTTGCGGTACTGATGCTGTCTTAATGCTCTGGTTAAAACAGTCAGCCATCTCCGCCAGGTCCACATCGCTCAAAGCCTTCTTGTGACCATACCTAACCCCATCAGGCCCTGGTGCAGTGTCAACCCAATCTGCAGTTCTATTACCATGTATCCCCACAAGAGACATGAGCATGTATCCATACAACCAGCACTGAGCATCCTCTTGTGTCTAGAGATGTAAAGCAGTCAGAGAGATCTCTTCTATTAAGTCTGGTCTGCTACATATTTTTGAATGTTCTGAAGCCTGCAAAGTTGATGGTTAAAGCTGTCAGTTGTTTGGCAGGGTTCTCATGAACCATTTCAAGAGCTTTGAGTACAGCAATAATTTCTGCAGTAAAAACTGGTAAATTATCAGTTATGCTAAAGTATTTTTGTCAGTTTCCACTGTGGAATGTATAATTCTATTTCTAACTTGTCCTTTCCTTTGGACCGAACCATAAACACAGAAGTGGCACTTTATTAGATCACTTGACAGAGACACAGTACTTAAGAATTTAAGCAGAGTGTGTGAAATGAGTTTGTTTACACTCTTAGTTAAAATATGGCTGTACAAAAAGGGAAATGATCATCCTATTATACAAACCCAAAAACATAGTTGCTTCCCAATTTGTCCACTGCCCCAGGCGCGACAGTGTCTGCCTGCTGGTCCAGTGCTCATGTGTTCCAGTTTTTATCAAGGCAAAGATTCAATAAAAAATAAAAGAAAACTGACCTGAGCCTCCAAGTCGATCCAGATAAAATATTTACAAGAAAATCTTTTTGCAAGTCCTCTTCTTCTTTGCATTCATCAGCAGAAAGTTCTGGTTGTTCGTCCACCTTTGGACTTGAGCCATGTTTCAGAACCTGAATGTTGTGTGCACATAAGTTTTAGACATATGACTTGTTTGTATGCAGACTATTGTTTCATTGCCTCTCAGGCAGATGCACTGACCTTAAAGAAAGTCCCCCACTTGGTCGCCTCTTGTTGTGTAAACACCCCCCCCCCCCCCCCCCCCCCAGTGGAGCCCTACAACTCAAGGAATTCTCACCAGTAAATGGTGACATCAACATACCAGCCAGCAGATGGTGACAACATACCAGCCAGTAGATGGTGACATCAACATACCAGCCAGTAAATGGTGGCATCAACATACCAGCCAGTAGATGGTGACATCAACATACCAGCCAGTAAATGGTGACATCAACATACCAGCTAGTAAATATGGCATCAACATACCAGCCAGTAAATGGTGACATCAACATACCAGCTAGTAAATGGTGACATCAACATACCAACCAGTAGATGGTGACATCAACATACCAGCTAGTAAATGGTGACATCAACATACCAACCAGTAGATGGTGACATCAACATACCAGCCAGTAAATGGTGACATAAATATACTAGCCAGTAAATGGTGACATAAATATACTAGCCAGTAAATGGTGACATAAATATACTAGCCAGTAAATGGTGACATAAATATACCAGCCAGTAAATGATGACATAAATATACTAGCCAGTAAATGGTGACATCAACATACCAGCTAGTAAATGGTGACATCAACATACCAGCCAGTAAATGGTGACATCAACATACCAGCCAGTAAATGGTGACATCAACATACCAGCTAGTAAATGGTGACATCAACATACCAGCCAGTAAATGGTGACATCAACATACCAGCCAGTAGATGGTAACATCAACATACCAGCCAGTAGATGGTAACATCAACATACCAGCCAGTAAATGGTGGCATCAACATACCAGCCAGTAAATGGTGACATCAACAAACCAGCCAGTAAATGGTGGCATTAACATACCAACCAGTAGATGGTGACATCAACATACCAGCCAGTAAATGGTGCCATCAACATACCAGCCAGTAAATGGTGACATAAATATACTAGCCAGCAAATGGTGACATCAACATACCAGCCAGTAAATGGTGATTCAACATACCAGCCAGTAAATGGTGACATCAACATACCAGCCAGTAAATGGTGGCATCAACATACCAGCCAGTAAATGGTGACATAAATATACTAGCCAGCAAATGGTGGCATCAACATACCAGCCAGTAAATGGTGGCATCAACATACCAGCCAGTAAATGGTGACATCAACATACCAGCCAGTAAATGGTGACATCAACACACCAGCCAGTAAATGGTGGCATCAACATACCAACCAGCAGATGGTGACATCAACATACCAGCCAGCAGATGGTGACATCAACATACCAGCCAGCAGATGGTGACATCAACATACCAGCCAGCAAATGGTGACATCAACATACCAGCCAGCAGATGGTGACATCAACATACCAGCCAGCAGATGGTGACATCAACATACCAGCCAGCAGATGGTGACATCAACATACCAGCCAGCAGATGGTGACATCAACATACCAGCCAGCAGATGGTGACATCAACATACCAGCCAGTAAATGGTGACATCAACATACCAGCCAGTAAATGGTGACATCAACATACCAGCCAGCAAATGGTGACATCAACATACCAGCCAGCAAATGGTGACATCAACATACCAGCCAGCAGATGGTGACATCAACATACCAGCCAGCAGATGGTGACATCAACATACCAGCCAGCAGATGGTGACATCAACATACCAGCCAGTAAATGGTGTCATCAACATACCAGCCAGTAAATGGTGACATCAACATACCAGCCAGTAAATGGTGGCATCAACATACCAGCCAGCAAATGGTGGCATCAACATACCAGCCAGTAAATGGTGGCATCAACATACCAGCCAGTAAATGGTGGCATCAACATACCAGCCAGCAAATGGTGACATCAACATACCAGCCAGTAAATGGTGACATAAATATACTAGCCAGCAAATGGTGACATCAACATACCAGCCAGTAAATGGTGGCATCAACATACCAGCCAGTAAATGGTGACATCAACATACCAGCCAGTAAATGGTGACATCAACATACCAGCCAGTAAATGGTGACATAAATATACCAGCCAGTAAATGGTGATTCAACATACCAGCCAGTAAATGGTGATTCAACATACCAGCCAGCAAATGGTCACATCAACATACCAGCCAGTAAATGGTGACATAAATATACTAGCCAGTAAAAGGTGACATCAACATACCAGCCAGTAAATGGTGACATCAACATACCAGCCAGTAAATGGTCACATCAACATACCAGCCAGTAAATTGTGACATGAAAATACCAGCTAGTAAATTGTGACATGAACATACCATCCAGTAAATGGCAATTGTTCGATATAGCCACCAGACAAGCACCATAAACAAAACCCATCTTAAATCCTGGAAAAATATTCTTTCAATTTATTACAGAAAATAAATGGAAGGAACAATCTGAAATACAAAACGTTTATAAGAGAAGTCATGCCACAAAATTTCAGCCACAGAGAATGATTACTGTACACTGGCATCATAAATACCTGTAAAGTAAACATAAGCATACCACTCACAGGGTGCCAACCACTCACAGGGTGCCAACCACTCAGAGTGCCAACCACTCACAGGGTGCCAACCACTCACAGAGTGCCAACCACTCATATAGTCCCAACCACTCACAGAGTGCCAACCACTCATAGTCCCAACCACTCACAGAGTGCCAACCACTCATAGTCCTGACCACTCACAGAGTGCCAACCACTCATAGTCCTGACCACTCACAGAGTGCCAACCACTCATAGTCCTGACCACTCACAGAGTGCCAACCACTCATAGTCCTGACCACTCAAACAGTTTCAATTGCTCATATAGTCCCAACCACTCACACAGTCCCGACCACTCAAAGAGTAAGAAGCACTCACATAGTCCTGACCACTCAAACAGTCCTGACCACTCAAACAGTCCCAACCACTCATACAGTCCCAACCATTCAAACAGTCCCAACCACTCATATAGTCCCAACCACTCATATAGTCCCAACCACTCAAACAGTCCCAACCATTCAAACAGTCCCAACCATTCAAACAGTCCCAACCAATCAAACAGTCCCAACCACTCAAACAGTCCCAACCACTCAAACAGTCCCAACCACTCATACAGCTCCAACCAATCAAACAGTCCCAACCACTCATACAGTTCCAACCACTCATACAGCTCCAACCACTCAAACAGTCCCAACCATTCAAACAGTCCCAACCACTCAAACAGCTCCAACCATTCATACAGCTCCAACCATTCATACAGCTCCAACCATTCATACAGCTCCAACCATTCATACAGCTCCAACCACTCAAACAGTCCCAACCATTCATACAGCTCCAACCATTCATACAGCTCCAACCATTCATACAGCTCCAACCATTCATACAGCTCCAACCATTCATACAGCTCCAACCACTCAAACAGTCCCAACCATTCATACAGCTCCAACCACTCAAACAGCTCCAACCATTCATACAGCTCCAACCATTCATACAGCTCCAACCATTCAAACAGTCCCAACCACTCAAACAGTCCCAACCATTCCAACAGTCCTGATCATTCAATGAAAAAACCTAAATGGCTTACAAATTACAACTAAAAGAATCACAACGAGAGTAGATTGAGCTGGCAGAGCTGGGAATGAAAGAGCTAGGAGACATCTCACACCCGTTGTCTTCCATCGCATGCAGAAGTTTCATTCAAGAATCATCTAAAATGTAACATGAAATGATGCCAGTTCCATCGGGGCAATGGATATCTTATCTGTTGGTCTCAGGGTGCGCCTGACAACTGTATGTGTAAGGCTTGTTTCGTGAATTCTGGAAATGTTCAAGTCTGTGAACAAAACATCAAAGGAGAGTGATGAATCTGACAATGGACACAGGAGAGCTCCTGCTGGGTAGGTGCAGTCATAGCCTCGCCGGTGCAAGACAATGCTGGTGCCATTGTAGTTCAGGTTTCCATCACAGAGGCTGCGGAAGTTGACAGCGCTGACATCACAAGGGAGAGAACTTGGAACAGGGTTCACAGCATGGAAGAACACATCGGAGTCCACATTTGTAAAATATGCCAGCAGAGGTTGCTGTAGCTTGCCCTGCACTCCCAGACTTGGCAGCGACAGGGAAGCAAAGTGTAGCCTTGATGTTTCTGTTAATGATGTTCTTTTCTCAATCAAGATGGCAAACTTACTGATGGTTGTCTTGATGTCTGTGACACCCTCTCCCATGCCTCTGTCATCGTCATAGACAAGCTGTCTGTCCAACATCACCTCCAGCTGTCCTGTCTCCAGACAAGATGCCCCGTGTGGCTGAGCAGCCAGGAGCGTAACTCTTGTTGACTCGTCCTCTAGTATGGCAGCAGAAGTCATGGGGTAATAATTTGTTTCTATACGCGAACTTCTGTTTGTGCGCCGTCGGATAAACTGAAAACCATTCTGATCTGTAAAGTAGGACAGGTCTGAATTTCGAATATTTGTATTCATACGCATGATCAGCTCTTTGTCTTTGAGAGTTTGAATACTGACTTTGTTTTCAATAAAGATAGCAGACGTTAGATGTGAAGGCTGGTGGTACAAGGTCACAGTGTGAGTTACATATGGCTCAAAACCTACCTCAACAATTGTCACCAGAGGGCCTTGCGTTACTCGAATGATTGGAATGTTGGGAAACAAAAGTGTGGCAGGACCTTGTGGATAAAAGATATAGGCTCCGCTGCCTTGGGATTTATAAATTAAAAAATTGATATTTAGTTTTGTAACATTTTTAGTTGCTAAATCCATGACCTGCACTAGTGACCCACTTCTAGGGTCAAAGGTCAGCTGAATCACCTGATTATCTACAATGATTGGTTTCATTCGCTTGGGTTCGGGTCTGTTTTGATTAAAAAGAAGAGCACCTGACACTGCCAGCTGCGGCGTGTTGATGGCAGTTATCGAAGACATGTACAATGAGAAGGATGGATATTCTTTCTTGTAGAGGACGAATGGCATGATGGCAAACGGTCCGATCTCTACAAGAAATGTCAACTCAAAGACATCGTCGAGCACTACAGCATCCTCCTCTCTGTTCCAAACAGGGTTCACCTGGCAAGACACAACCTGTTGCGTACTGGAAATGACCTCCAACATCTGGGAGTTGACATAAAGATGGACAATTTCCTGTCGGGGCTGCCCTAGAGGGTTGAAGAAAGCAACCGTTGTGCCAGAATCCTGAACAGATATCACCTGCTTCTGGGGCAAATCTACAGAGCTTTTCCTCACAGTTTCTGGCCGGAACACTACCGGAGATTCTATTTTACCTGATGACAACAAGATTTGGATGACAAACTGAATAACTTCCTGGCATTGAACCCAGGCTCTTAACAAATACTGCTCATAATCTTCCACTACAAACGACTTGGCGGTGCCTGTAATTCCATCATGATGAAGAAACAGACCAAGAGATCTTCTTGCCTGCTGCAGAAGTGATGAATGAACAGCAAACTTGCTCTCAGGTTTCTTGGACCATTTCTTGTAGAAGACATAATGCAGTGTGCTGAGAATGTCTGCAGCTTGTATCACTGCCTGCACATCACGCCCAAAAGATTTATCAAATGGACGTGTGGAATAATACCCGGTCCAGTAAGCCGTATCCTTGTCAGAATATGGAAAAAAGTCCCCACTTAGAACAGGGAACTCTTCAGCTTTGTTGATAAACTTCCTGTTGGATTCTTCTTTGTGAACATGTGAGAAGTAATCTCTCAAGGTGCCCCACTGAATATTCATATTCCAGCCAGGTCTAGAGTTGATGTACTGAATCAACTTCTCGTAATTCTCGTACTGCTGGTCCCATTCTTTCTCTCTATCATAGCGGAAATCATCTCCAATGGGGACCAGGATGGTGTTGTGGCGGAAGTAATAAGCTTTGGCCCTGTACTGAAGTTGCAACATCTCAGCGCTGTGCTCAAGGTTATCCTTGGTGACCTCCAGACCTTTGCTTTGAGAGTAATCGCCGGGAATTTTTCGGAAGTCAAAGTGGAGACAAACAAAAGGATTGGGTCCGCAGGTATATTTGATGCTGTACAACATAAAAGGCATCACATGACAGAAGATGTCAGTCAGTCCCTTGCTGTCCCACATCTGCCGCCAGTAAAATTCCAGAGCCTTCTCTTTGAAGAGAGATGCCTTGACCGCCTGGTGTACACGTTGAACCACCATGTTGGACATGCCAGATTTCTGCCACAAATATGACATAGTGCTGGAGTAGCCAAACGGGTCAATGGCCCAGCTGTTTTCTGGACGAATGTGCAGGTTCTCCCACAGCCACTGATGACCTTCAATCAGCTGGTCAATAACAGCCACGTAATGGCTACTTGCCTCATCTGGCATCACCCATCCTCCCAGAGTTATCTCCAGCTGACCTCGTCTGATAAGTCGTCTGACATGAACCTGAAATGTGAACAGAATGTTAGTCTTATATAAACCTGAAATGTGAACAGAATGTTAGTCTTATATAAACCTGAAATGTGAACAGAATGTTAGTCTTATATAAACCTGGGCTCTCCTAGCAGATTTGGCCGGCGAGCTAAACTGCTTCGGCCGGCTTAGTGGGGCTTAGTGGGAGTTACGTCCCTTCGCCAAACTCAAAACAACTCAAAACCAGTTGCGGAAAAAGTCACACGAATCAAATGACAACAGCAAAATGGCAGTTAGACAGAGAGCTCCCACACACATAAGCAACAACGTTCTTGCGACGCACGACTTAGTTGCCACGGACGTAACTCCTGCAGATCTGTATGCAGTAATGTCTGATAAGTATGCGTGGTTGCGGTGGCTAGCTGAGCATAGTCTGATAAGGAATATGCAACTGTGCAGCTCGTGCAACCGACCTATGTCGCTAGCGCCTCGCCAGCACTGTAGCGACAGATACGGTTGGCGTTGTCATCGCTGTGATACTCGGTGTAGCGTTCGCACGGGGTCCTTTTTCGCCAACAGCGACATGCCGACCGAGAAAATAGTCATGATGATGTACTACTGGCTTTCCGGCCTAAGTGCAACGACTGTCATGGTCTTCGAGAGACTCCCGTGCTGGTCCACCATTGTCAACTACAACAATTATTTCCGTCAGGAGTGCTATAATTGGATGTTGAGACACACCGTGGAGCTGGGAGGACTCGATGAGACCGGCAGATCTATCGTGGTCGAAGTAGACGAGAGCTACTTCTTCCGACGAAAGTATCAGCGCGGTCGCATTCGTCACGGTCGTTGGGTCGTCGGACTAGTAGAGCGTGAGACTGGCCGTTGCTACCTGGAGCTTGTGCGAAAACGAGATGCGGCGACATTGGAGAGGATCATAAAAGATCACGTACTGCCGGGAACTACCATCGTGACTGACGCTTGGCGAGGCTACAGCAACGTCGCAAACTTAAGGCATGGCATCTATCTGCACGAGGTAGTAGTCCACCAGACCAACTTCGTCGACATCGCGCACAGTCACATACACACACAAACAATCGAGGGCCTGTGGATGTTGGTGAAACGATCACTTCGCCAGCGACTGGGCACCAGCCGCCCGCTATTGGCGTCATATTTGGCAGAGTTTCAGTGGCGCCACTCCCACAAACGTCAGATTGTCGGCCACTATTTCGACCTCCTACGCGAAAATTTTCACATCACACCCTACCCCTAAACCCTAACCCTAAACCCTAACCCTAACCCCTCATTTTACGCAAACAACCAACCTACACGCAATAAGCAGCCCTACACGCAACCGTAGGACGATGATAGACACCCTACGCAACCCTACACGCACCCGGATGATGATAGGTAAGTATGTCATTTGATTCGTGACTTTTCCGCGACTGGTTTTGATTTGTTTTGAGTTTGGCGAAAGGACGTAACTCCCACTAAGCCGGCCGAAGCAGTTTAGCTCGCCGGCCAAATCTGCTAGGAGAGCCTAAACCTGAAATGTGAACAGAATGTTAGTGTAATATAAACCTGAAATGTGAACAGAATGTTAGTGTAATATAAACCTGAAATGTGAACAGAATGTTAGTGTTGCTCTGTTGTCCTGTCCATTCAGTTTTAAAGTCTCAGTGTGTGTTGTACACATTTATTATTTATGTCATCACAGTAAAAACATACTGGAAACATATTTTAATCTCAATCGTCCATTTTTACATTTCGCTCACAAGCAACACATGACACTTGATCATCTATTGACCACCTCAAACACATGCATGCTGTGTAATTATATCTTTCACATTTGGCCTGACATATTTAAGAAATCTGCCAAGACACTGACATTACAGTAACTGCATCATTTCTCATCTGCTGTCCAAGCATTGAAAATACAAATCTAGCACTGTGGCTCTGCCTGCCTGTAGTCATGAGTTCAATACTTTGATGACGTCCTCCACCCCCCACAAACACACACACCTTCACAAACACACACGCTAAGGCAATTACAGGTGTCCTCTATCTTGCCTTGACCGCGTCCTCTATCTTGTTCATCCAGTCACCACACACACACACACACATACACACACACATGAAAGCCAGTACCTTGACCGTGTCCTCTATCTTGTTCAACCAGTCACCACACACATACACATACACACACGCATGAAAGCCAGTACCTTGACCGCGTCCTCTATCTTGTTCATCCAGTCACCACACACATACATACACACACGCATGAAAGCCAGTACCTTGACCGCGTCCTCTATCTTGTTCATCCAGTCACCACACACATACATACACACACGCATGAAAGCCAGTACCTTGACCGCATCCTCTATCTTGTTCATCCATGAAAGTCACCACACACACACACAAGTCACACACACCACAAGCATAGAAACCAGTACCTTACCGCGTCCTCTATCTTGTTCAACCAGTCACCACACACATACCAAACGCATGTGAAAGCCAGTACCTTGACCTCCGTCCTCTATCTTTGTTCATCCAGTCACCACACACACACACATACACACACACATGAAAGCCAGTACCTTGACCGTGTTCCTCTATCTGTTCAACCAGTAACCACACACACCACAATACACACACGCATGAAGCCAGTACCTTGACCGCGTCCTCTATCTTGTCATCCAGTCACCCAACACACAATACACACACGCATGAAAGCAGTTACATCGTTCACAGTCCCACGTGCGTTCCACTATCTTGTTGCAAGCCAGTACATCACACACACACACACACATACACACACGCATGAAAGCCAGTACCTTGGACCGCGTCCTCTATCTTGTGTTCAAACCATACCAACACCACCACACACATACACACACGCATGAAAGCCAGTACCTTGACCGCGTCCTCTATCTTGTTCAACCAGTCACCACACGCACACACATACACACACGCATGAAAGCCAGTACCTTGACCGTGTCCTCTATCTTGTTCAACCAGTCCACCACACCACACACATACGCATGAAAGCACACGCGTCCTATATGTTCAAGTCCAGACACTACACTGATGAAAGCCAGTCCTTGACCCGAGTCTCTATCTTGTTCACCACACCACCACACGCATGAAATCACATGGACACGTCCTCTATCTTGCTCAACCAAGTCACACACCATACACACACGATGAAGCCAGTACCTTGACCGCGTCCTCTATCTTGTTCAACCAGTCACCACACACATACACACACGCATGAAAGCCAGTACCTTGACCGCGTCCTCTATCTTGTTCAATCCAGTCACCACACACATACACACACGCATGAAAGCCAGTACCTTGACCGCGTTCTCTATCTTGTTCAACCAGTCACCACACACCACACACGCATGAAAGCCAGTACCTTGACCACGCCCTCTATCTTGTTCAACCAGTCACCACACATACACACACGCATGAAAGCCAGTACCTTGACCGCGTCCTCTATCTTGTTCAACCAGTCACCACACACACACACACACACGCATGAAAGCCAGTACCTTGACCGCGTCCTCTATCTTGTTCATCCAGTCACCACACACACACTACACACACGCATGAAAGCCAGTACCTTGACCGCGTCCTCTATCTTGTTCAACCAGTCACCACACACACACACACACGCATGAAAGCCAGTACC